ATGGACAAGATGCACGCTCGTGCGCGCGGACCTCGAGCGAATCTTACGCGCCAGCCGACCGAAGGTCGTTCCCGCGACGGAGGTCTTCGTCTGGGAGAGATGGAGCGTGATTGCTTGATTGCTTATGGTGAGACATATTGGGGTACAGCGACCTGGTTCAGGAAGCCCTTGCTGACTCGTCTCGCCGCGACCAGGTGCGACGCAATTGCTGCTCGAGCGCCTGATGATAAGCTCGGACGCCTTTGTGGTCAACATTTGCCAAAGATGGTGAGCGAAGTGATGCGTGCGATTCTCTCAAGTCGAAGTTGCTGACACTTCGCCATGGATGATGATCTGCCGGTCAGTGGCCTGATCGGCTACAACGGCTACTGCAAGTACTGTCGCTCTTCGAAAGAGGTCGTGAACGTGACCGTGCCGTATGCCACAAAACTTCTGATCAATGGTGAGGATGACGTCATTCGAGACGAAGGTTGGAGCGTCGGCCATCAGCTAATCATACCTGCTCTCCATTGGAACTCCAGAGCTCATGGCAATGCAAATTGTGCCACGTCTGGTGCTAGAGGACGCTCTATGAGTCACTAGCATTTCCCCAGCTGGATGCATCCCTCCCTTCTTCCTCTCTCCTCTCGTTCCTTACCCAGACCCCGCTGTACTTTTGCCGTCGGTAGCATGCAACATCGCCGAGACGTCCACAATGGATAGGTTTGTGAGCTCAAGACACTCGAGGCTAAAGCAGCTAAGCAGGAAACGCTCGCTCGGGTGGTCAGCCATGCACGTGCGGGCAGCTAGCTGCAAGTGAGATCAGCGTGGTGCAGGTTGGTGAATGTTGCTGCTTGCTTGCATATTCAGACTTGTGGCCCCGAGTGCATCCTCAACGACGCAATCAAGAATGCTCGAGCTTCCACACCGATTGCCACCGCGTCTGCCCACTTAACCAAACGCCGCGATGCATTGGTCCAAGATGAATCGAAGCCCCTTCTTGGCTGTCTCACCATCATCAGCAGCCTCTCGCAACGCCAAAATGTGGTGCGAGACTGCTATTCTTGGCATGATCCAGACTGTTGACCGCAAACGTCGCGCGGCGTCTATGCCTCGTTTTGATCTTGTCCACGGGTATTCGAAACGGGATCAATTTGGCTCTGACCTCTCGCTCCGCCTTTGATACAGCATTGCCTATAGCTGCCATGCATCCATTCAAGATTCCTCGTGAA